CTCCTTTGCCATCCAGTGTTAATGTTTTGGTTGATCTGTTAATAATCTATATTTTTTTGTTTAAATAAAGAATTGTTTAACACTCTTTATCTTTTTGTTATCTTGATCAGGTAAAATCGGCTTCAAAAATTGCCCCAAATAAATTTTTAATGCAAACTGGGGATCGTTTAGGGCCAATTTATGCTTCTGACGCATGGCCTCTGCAACCGTCAAATGTCTCTCTGTGCGCGACCACGGCCCCGCGCAGAGATTACGCGTCATACGGTCGCAAACCAGCGCAGACCACAAGCGGAAGTGCACAGACAAAAAGCAGGTGTGATTGGTCCTCTGTATTTCTTTCCGGCCGTCTGTGTGGTCGTCCTTCTCGATTCGGTGCCGGGATGCGTCATTTTTAAAAAACTGAGTGATATATATGGGTTTTATATTTTATGTTCTTTGACATTCATACAAGTTTTGTATCACAAATGAAGCACTCTTATTACCTAAGCACTCATTATCTAAGTTCCTGTTTCCTTGAGAGCATGATATAATTAGTTTTTGTACTCATGAGCTCTCTGTGCCATGCTCTGACCATGATGTAATAATGTTTTTGGTTTCGACTGTCCACGAGCCCTAAGTGGGTTCGGGGGGTGCCTGTTTCATATTTTGGTTTCTGTAATCATGCGCTCCCGGCGTGAGAGGGAGCGATCACTTTTCCTGATTGGGTGAAAGATTTTCCTTTGAAGTTTGGCATAAATGACGGATGGCGGTTGGCACTGGTGGGGTCTGCTAGGTTGCGTACGGACGCCTAGCTGCGCGGGTTGCTGCCCTGCCAGGATCGACTGGCCCTCCAATCCTTGTGTCACGGTAGGGGGAGAATATAAATTGTATTGAGACAATATAACTTGTATTCAGCACCGTGCCTTGATTGATGTGCTTGCTTTGCTGTTTTCTGTAGCGGAATAAAACAACACATTTTAATTCTAGCAGTTTGTGTGTTCATCTTTATTGCCGACTCATCCCGATCCTGCCTAAATTTCATAATACACTGATGAACAACTACGACGAAAGGTTAATTGATTAGGTTCAGAAGTACAAGCACTTGTACAATGCCTCAGACAAATTATATAAAGATGCCAAGTTGACCATCCGCCGAAATTCTCGCGAGTTCCCGAATAGGCTGCCACTTGCGCTTTGGCGGGAAACTGCTAGAAATTCCAGACTGCAACCAGACCCAAGCAACGTTTGATTTGCGCGAAGGCAGAAGGCTAATCTGCCCTTAGACTGTTAGATAATCACCCTTAAAAACACATGTATTGGTTGAAATTTAGCTTTTATCTTACTTGTTTTTGTGATTTTCTTCTCATCATTTCTGTCCTTCTTTTCCTGTGTGTCTCTCCAGGTNTACTTGTTTTTGTGATTTTCTTCTCATCATTTCTGTCCTTCTTTTCCTGTCTGTCTCTCCAGGTGGCGATAAAAATAGTGGATAAGACCCAGCTGGACGATGAGAACCTGAAGAAGATCTTCAGAGAGGTGCAGATAATGAAGTTGCTGAAGCACCCCCACATCATCCGCCTCTACCAGGTACGCCCCTCACCCACTCTCTGCTCCCCTCTCACACCTGAGGCCCGTCCGGCCTAAAGCGTCACTCCTGCTGTGTGAAGTTCAGGGATTTTCTTAATGTTATACTGGACGTCATCACTAGTTTATTTTTTCCCCTTTAAAATCTCCTACTTTCCTGTAAAAGTTGATTCGTTGGTTGAAGGGCTCAGATCGAACACCACGGTGCACGGCAGGTCTTTTTCTATTTTCAATCCCTTGTTTATTTGCCAAACTGCTTACTCACCGGGTTGTGTAACGGGCGATCCGCCCATCGCTGGATGTTTGTCCGTCTGAGGGCATGTCAGTCCTTCTTTTTTTGATTTGTTTTGTGTCTTTAGGTGATGGAGACGGAGAAGATGATCTATCTGGTCACAGAGTATGCCAGTGGGGGAGAGATATTCGGTAAGGGACTTACACGCTGCACTTTAACCCCTTCTTTGTTGCTTTGGATCATTTTCCATATGTTCTACGTTCAAATCAATCATTCATTTCAAGACACGACAAGAAAAATCTTGTGGAAAACTTTCTTCTTCTCTATTTTAATATGACATTTTGAAAAGAAGTCATATTTCCCTTCAATGCCTTGTTTTTATAGTGACTTTTGTGTGTTGATTTAGTTGTTTGGTTTAAATCATTTTTGCATAGTTGTCAAAAATATATAATTTGTTGTTTTTTTATCCAGATTTTAGAGCCT